TTGCATAAAAGATGCTCTTCATGACAAAGCAGAACAGATGAGTGGTTAACAATGGTAGCCCCTTCATCTATTAACAGGGCCCTTTTTTAAGCACAATCACATTTTGACCAGGTGAGAGAAAACAGATTCAGTCAAATCTCCCAAGCAACTAACATCAGTGTTTCTACCCCTATGGGGAGAGTTCATCATTGGTAACTTCTATTTTCCACAGTCACTATAAAACTTAAACAATATGGTTAAGCATCTTTAAACACGTACAAATAAAGCTCTGCCAACATTTATCCAGCTATACGAGCAAAGAACATGGCTTCTCTGGCTGGATTGAATTAAAATCTAATCAAGAATTAACTATATTAAGGCTAGTATTCACCTTCCTCAGATATTTCTCACTAACTTGAACTGCTCTGACTTGTATCTTTTAAGCATTCTGATTCACAGTTGTCCTTATTTTTATTGTTATAATCATGTTTCAACTGCTGTGTCCAAGAGCCTTCTTCAGCTTGGTACCATGAAGCTACATCAGTGGGTAAAATTAAAAGGGGCGACGTGTTTGAAGTTACCGAATCTTATTTCAAGCCACAATCTATTTTGGCCATTCTACTAGATATGCATGCAACAAATCTGTTGCAAATCAATAACCAACTGCTCCCCAACTGTTAGGGAGAATCTGCTCCTTGTTTTACTCAACAGGTTCCACACCAACACTTTTTTTTTTTTTTTTTGTGCTATCCATTTAAGAATTAAAGGAAATGAGCAAACAGACTCGGCTACAAACTCTGCCCAAAATGAAACCCTTGATGAGTTTTAGGCTCCCTTACACAGACCTGAAAAATGAAATAAACAGTTTCAGTAAACAGAAGTGACATAAGCACTTGACCGATGATGCAAATAACAAGCTTCACGCAATCAAACTGTTCCTGGGTGAATGAAAGCTGGTGGCTAGAAAAGGAAGAAAAGTTGAAATAATGTTGACTTGGCTGCACATACCTCATCCATTCCTACTTGCTGAAGAATGAACATCAACCAACATGTGCAACATACTAAGCTGCACTCACGGTGAAACATTCTAACTTAGCACCTGTAAGGCATACATGTCACAAGGAGAAACTATTTGAAAATACTGAAACTGTCAACATAATGTCCTACCTTAAAGAAACCTAACACCTACAATAGATTATCTACAAACTACAGGGTGCGATGAATTGACTAAATTACACAAAAATGAAAATAACACTGATATCTCATTTTAACGGATATATTTACCAAAATTACACAAAAATATCTTGAAATACTAAATAGTAAATTTATACAATAAAATTGCCATTGGCTTCAAACACTTCCCCCAGTCGACTTGAGAATCTCCTGCAACACTTCTGAACAGTCTTCTTGTTTAAGTTGGTGAATGTTGCCATAATCCTTGCCTTCACTTCAACTTTAGTGTTACAAGGAGTTTTGTTCTTTCGCTCAACAGCGCACCAGACATAATAATCAAGGGTGTTGCAGTAGCTGTGGTGCAATAGATAATAGTTCAAAATAAGAATTCAAAGAGTTCATATTCAGTTTAAGTTTGTTACATTAACTTATGTACAAATACCTTTCGGAAAGTCAGCTGTGGGTTAAACAGCAGGACTTGTATGCATAACCATTATCTTGAGGAAATTCTTATTGTAATAATCACTTGCAAAAACTTATTCTTACAATCTAAAAATTATATTTTGGTTTCAAATAACCTACAAATGCTCAGCTGATAAGGCTGAATACTTTGCTCAGAAATTCTCATCCAATTTGATGCTCAACTCCTCCCGTGTACCCACACAGTTGTACATAAACCCCATTGATGGTATTGAGCATCATCTCTAAATTAGACTCCCATAAGGCTAGAAGTGGGGACGGGATACCAGCCATTGTCCTGAAGAAATGTGCACCTGAACTGGCTCCTGTCCTCTCCAAACTATATAACTACTGCCTCAATGACACTTGCTTTTTAGCCTGTTGGAAGTCCTTATCTGTTGTACCTGTCTTTAAGAACTCTGAAGACTCTTCTGACCCATCTAACTACCGTCCTATTAGTCTCCTCTCACTCTTCAGCAAAGTCTTTGAAGCTTTAATCAACACCAAAGTGGTTAAGCACCTTACATCTTATGATCTGCTCTGACAAGCAATATGGTTTCCGATATGCCCAATCTACTGCTGATGTGTTCATGGCCATAACTGAATTTGTTTACCAAGCACTTCACAATAACAGAAGATCAAGTTGTGACTCTAGATATCTCTAAATCATTTGATGGGGTTTGACATGCCAGCCTTCCTCGTAAGCTTCAGGGATACGTGATTTCAGGACGAACATTTGACTTAATACAATCATTCCTGTCGAACTGTCATGAAGGTCGTCCTAAATGGACTCTCCTCCAGTCTCTTTCTTACGAAGACAGGTGTTCCCCAAGTCTCTATCCTGGGTCCTACATGGTTTCTGATCTTCATTAACAATCTTCTCAATGTCATCAGTTCCCAAGTAGGTATCTATACAGACGACACCACTATTTACTACTGCCTCAATAGTAAATTTGGTATTGCTGACAAAACTAACCTGGCCGTTGGTCTCAAAAAGGACATCCAATCTGTTGTTGACTGGGGAAAAAATGTCTGGTAAACTTTAATGCCTCAAAAAAAAAACTGCTCTTTTTTACCTACCACAGAGAACCCTATATACTTCCCATTAGAATGTCTGATGCTCAACTCCACGAGAGTGCTTGCTTGATCTCACACTGTCCGCTGTCTTGAGATGGAACAAATACATTGAACCAATAGCTTCATCCACTGCAAGAAAGTTGGTTCTGTGTTGCCCGAGTCCATCCTTCAAATCTATAAATCAACCATTCGACCTTGCATGGAAGAATGCATATATGATCTGGAGCCGCCACTGTTTGTTTCAAGGTTCTTGACAAAATCCAGAGAGGGATATGCAATGTGATTGGTCGTGATCTGGCATCTCATCTACAGTCACTTTCTCACAGATGTGCCGTCACTTCCCTCTGTCTTTTCTACAAATAGTTTCACGGTAACTGCTCCAACGAGATACTTATGCTGGTTCCCAAATTGCATGAATTTAAGCGTGCTACTAGCTTATCATCTCAGTCTCATTCTTTCACTGTCGAAACTGTTAAATGTAGCCATCTCTTCTATTACAGTAGTTTCATGATTCGCACTTGCCGTTTGTGGAACTCTTCCTTTTACTTACTTCCCTGACAGCTATAATCTTCAATTATTCAAATGCAATGTCAATCGACATCTTCAGATTCCTTGACCTAATTCTTCGTCCTTCTCGTCATCCTTTCCTCTTTTGAGGAGCGGGGAACCACCTCTTAATTGCTGGTGTTCCCAGGTCCGCCCGGGGTGGTAGCACATGTTAGGGTCCCAGCTATGGGCAAATAGACTCCAAACTGGGATCAAAACACTGAAAGTGTAAAAATAAAGGTTTTAATACCAGAATTTTTTTTTTTTTTTTCAAAAAAATATTTCCAGCAATAAAAATCTTGTCGGAATTAAAGAACCCATTGAGGTTGGTATGCTATAAAACAAACCCAAGCAAACTCTTTACTCTTGCTTCTACTCTCTGTAACCCCTTGCGTTCTAATGGCACTCCCGCCTTGCTTGGGGTAAGATGTTTAAAAAAATAAAAATAAATAAAATAGTTTGTAAGCCATAAAAATAAATCCATAAATATATCAAATATTTTTTTTAGTGTTTAGTTGTTTCCAGTGGTTTGTAATGTTGTTCAGTAATTTCCTATATAAATACTGATGACTGCAGTACTTTATTTAAAGATTTTATTAAAAAAACAGTTTTTGTTATACATGAATACTCAACAAAAGCTAATTGTCCTTCATGACTGCAAGGTGTGTGTGTCCTGGTGTTTTTCTCCTCATTGTCAAAGAATAATTATAATTTCTATTGTTATTAGTTGCCCATTAAGTACTGTTATTTTGGATTTAAAAGTACTTCTAATTCCAAAATAACTGGCTTTAAGTGGCTTTAATATGGTACTGTTTCTGCCGTATCAGGTTTTTTTTTTCCCATATTCCAGATTGTGTCAAATTCTGGAAGAAACTTATTTTATCATCTTTTTCAAACTCGTCTTTTATTCAAAAATAAAATCAACCCTAAACCATTAACTTTTCTTATCAATTAAAACCTGAAAACTCGTGTTTCAAAGAAAAGTCTCATTTTGAACGTATTTACATTTAATGACAAATCCTTCATGTTATGAATGTATCCAACTTAGAGTTTTCAAAACTGTCAGAATCTAAAACTCATGCAGTGCGTAATTTTTTTTTTTTTTTTCAAAATGTATCTTTGGAAACTAGTGGTAATAACCAAATTTTCAGTGTAGAATCTTAAACGTTCTCCTCTAAAACAATATTTGATCTATTAATCCAATTCTCCAGTACAGTGTCAAATACCAAAAAGCTTATAGTGAAACTCATTTTGAGAGTCTTTCACCTGTACTGATTTGTTCAATACTAACACGGAACAATACATAATACACATGTGAATATTAATTATTTTGAATTCGTTTCCAAGACTGTTAACAAATGCATGCAACAATCTTTCAGTTTGATGAAATACAAGCAATCCCTTATCCCGAGCAGCCTCGTGAGACCTAATAGTCTCATCTTTTAAACAGATTAACGCAACTTCCTAAGGTTTAAAAGAAAACCTTCAGGTCATATAATTCATCAAGTTTCAAACGTTTGATTTAATATTTACCTTTCTGCAACAAAGTAAAAATGACTTTATGACTGTACTTATAAAATCCGCAGTATCATCTATATGAGTAATGACTCCTTTTGAAAAAAAATGTTAAAGTTTCTGTCGTTGGTTCTAGGGGCAAACTTAAAAAAAGGTCGGGGGCAGAAGAGGCTCATTACTCCCTTTATGAATACTTGCATAGTTTTGACAAGGCTATCACACAAAACTTCCAATGCAGTCCGATTGCGTACTTAACTCTTTTTAGGTTCTTTTGAACCGTCTCTTATTTGTTTATTTCTGTAGTAAACGTATCTCAAGATTTCGCCCAGAGTTGTATTAAGATGGGCCAAGTCGTCAAAATCTTTTGGCAGAGGATACTTGTGTCTGTGCCATATATGCACGGCTATATTCTTATCCCATGGCACTCGCTGCACAAAGAGTTTCTCAATTTCAAACCAATTTGGTGAGTAGATCCGTTCCTTTTCGACATGGATGAGATCCGGAAATACAATTGAGAGAAGATAAGGATGCTTCATCGAATGAACTCCCCACTGACTCTTATCAAACGTCCGATAGCTTGCATACCAAAATGTTAAGAAACTAGAACATGGTTTAGCCAAAATCAGTCCGTTTCCCATTCCAGTGCCCTTGTCCATTAACCCCATCGTCAAATCGTACTGTCGCAGTTCTTCAATGGATTTGACAAACACAATGTCAAGGTCGAGGTATATTCCGCCACTCACTGAAAAAGAAAATTAAAATGTCTTTTAAAAAAGTCAAATCGTTGTTTGTCTCGTAATATATATATAATCAAATACAATTTGTTCCTCTTTAACTGTTAACGTTATCTTTGCATGTCATTACTTGCATAGGTGAAAAAACAAGTTCCTTCCATTCATAATGTTTATAGGATGATGGGAATAAACCTAAAAACTACAAAAATCAACCCGTCCTGGGTATGACGATAAACTACATCTGACAGCAAGGCCTCTGATCAGATTTTTGAGGAGCGTGGAACCACCTCTGAATTGCGGGTTTTCCCAGATCCACCCTGACCCGGGGTGGTAGCACCTATTTAAGGGCAAATAGGAAAGTGTAAAAATAGGTTTTAATACCAGCAATAGATTCTTGTAAAAAATCTTACTAGCAATACATTTTTGAAGAAAAAAAATATTACCTGCAATAAAAAAAAAAATCTTGTCGACATTAAATAACCCTTTGAGGTTGATATACCGTAAATCAAACCTTGGTTTGACGATAAACTACATCCGCGTCCTGGATAAGGCGATAAAGTACGATCTAGGATCTCTTATACGTCCAACAGCAAGACCTCTGATCGGGAGATTTTGAGGAACATGGAACTGCCTCCTAATTGCTAGTGTTCCCAGGTCCACCCTAAACCAAGGTGGTAGCACCTGTTAGGGTCCCAGTTATGGGTAAATAGTTACCCCAATACGCTATGAAAGTGTAAAAATAGGTTTTAATACCAGAAATAATTTGTAAAAATGTTATTACCAGCAATACATTTTTGAAAAAATATTGCCTAGACATTTTCTTTCAGAAATAATACCTGCGATACGTTTTTGGAGAAGAAATATTTCCAGCAATAAAAATTGTCAGCATTAAATAACTCATTGAGGCTGAAATGCCGTAAAACAAACCAAACCAAATATACCACCCTTGGTCATAAGAATACCCGAAATTTAAATCTCTGTAAACTTCATAAAACAAGTACGTATCTATTTATATTTCAAGACGAATTAAAAAAAAACAAAAAAACAAATCAATCTTTTTATCCCGCTCACTCGTGCATTTTCACATTTGGATCTAAATTCAAAAATGAAACCCGGATGTGCAGCAGTCTATAACAAGAAAAACCTCTGCGAAACAAAACTTCAATTTTCAATGCAGAGATTTATGCAATAGATGTAGCACTTGTCTTCATCTCTAGAAACAAAAAAAAAAAAAAAATAATATTCTGACTCCCTATCAGCTGTAACAGCAATAAAAAATTAAAAACTTCACAACCCACTACCGGTGAAGTTGTTATGCTGAACCTAAAGCCATATAGCAATTAAAAGGAATAACCAGGCAGACTACTGAAAAAATCTGCCCGAAATGAAACTCTTGGTAAGTTTTAGGATCTATTATGCGGACCTAAAAGATGATATAGACGGTTTCATTAAACGGTAAACTACATCCGACAGCAAGGCCTCTGATCAGTAGATTTTGAGGAGCGTGGTCTTAATTGCTGGTGTTCCCAGGTCCACCCTGACCTAGGGTGGTAGCAAATAGTTAACCCTCAAACTATACTTTGTAAAAAAAAAAAAAAAAAAAATTTATCAGCAATTTTTTAAAAACAAATTAACAGCTATACATTTTTTGAAAATATTACCAGCGAAGGAAAAATATTACCAGAAATAGATTTTTGGAAAAAAATATTACCAACAACGAAAATTTTGTCGGCATTAAATAACCCATTGAGGTTGATATGCCGTAAAACAAACCAAACCATTAAACAGAAGTGGCAGAATCCAGAGAATGGAGGCAGGTGTCTAGAATTAGAAGAAAGGCGGAAGTAATGTTGGCTCTGCTGCAAAGAGGCCACATATATCTCAACCATTCAGACTTGCTCGAGAATGAAACTCAACCAACATACCAAGCCGCACTCCCGGTGAAACACATTTTAACTGAATGTATTTACTTAGCACCTTAAGGTATAAATGCTACAAAGAAACAAACATAAGACTATTTGAACATATTGAAACCGTCAACATAATGACTTACGTTCAAGAAACAAACTTATATCAACGCATAATACCTACAACAGATCATGGTTTGGTTTGGTTTGTTTTACGGCATAGCAAACTCAATGGGTTATTTAATGACGACAATTTTTATTACTGGTACAGCGTAACCCGGATATAAGAGAGTTGTCGGGACCGGAGAAGAAGTCTCTTATATCCGGGTTTGGTCTATTTTATATACATTAACACAGGCTCTAATTTGGGACCAGAGAAAATCTCTCTTATATCCGGGTTACACTAATAACTTTTTACAAAAATTTATTGCTTGTATTAAAAACTTTTTTTTTACACTTTCATACTGTTTTGACCCCAGTTTGGGGGTTAACTATTTGACCATCGCTGGGACCCTAACATATGCTACCACCCCGGGTTTGAATGGACCTGGGAAGACCAGCAATTAAGAGGTGGTTTTATGCTCGTCAAAACCTCCTGAAGCAAAGGCCTTGCTATCGGATATAGTTTGTCGTCATACCCAGGACGGCATCAGATCATGTACAAATCATATCAAAAAACTAACGTTTACACTAACACTATAAAATATGTAGAATGTCTGTAGTTGAAATCGTAAAATTACGTTTATAATATAAAAAATTACCAGCAATAAAAATCTTGTCGGTATTAAATAACCCATTGCGGTTGATATGACGTAAAAAAAATATTCAAGAGATTTATATTTCGGCATTAAAAAATCCACAGATGGTTGATATGCCGATAAATAAAATCGGCTGAACCTAAAACGTGGATGGGGTAAGTGTTGTATTATACGGCAAGAATTTCTTCAGATTGGTAGGAAACACCTAACCGGTTGCTCTCTCAGCAAATGCTGGGGTAATAGGCAGCGAGGGGAACGAGAAAGGAAGTAACAAAAGTAACATTGCCTCGGAAACCACAATAACTTTAGAAACAAAAATATCAAGAGAACCGTGTCTTGCGGGTTTTCCCGTTGCATCTTACAAAAACCCGGATCTTGACCAGTTGTAGAGAGGCTCGCATCTAAACATGCCAAGCTGTCCGGCTGCTGTCGGGGAAACTCGAATGTAACTGATGTTGACAAACATGATCGCACTCGATCCGGAGGCTCTTTTTGCGTCTGTAGCGACGCGCGTTCGCCACAGGAGGCTTGTCTTTATCCTATCTTTTTTAACCTAGATGGTCACAATCACTGACCCATTCATGCAAATCTTCGATCGCCCTGTCGGCTGGGGTTTCAGAATGCGCTGACTGCACCTCTGTAGATCCCCGTTCCCAGTGCGGCCACCTGTTTGCTGTGGGTGGTCACCCGTAATGTCTGGGATCGGGATATTGGCACTTTGACCCTTACTTGGACGAGACGACATGTCAGAGAAGCCGGATCCGACCAATCGCCTGGCCATGACAGGCCTTAGCGACTATAACAATATCAATTTATGGAGTACTTTATAACTAAATAAAATACCTCAACTATACACAGGGAAAAATACCATAATTACCCAATGGCGTTAGAAGACGACGGCTGAGGGTCAATCGATGCGAAGAGATCTGAACTCCGACATGGCTGTAGACATGTCAATTTTTTTTTTTTTTTTTTTTTTACACTTTTTTTTGGGAAGTGCAACAAATGGTTTAATGGGTGCTCAGCCCGTCTCGAATACGTGTATACTGGCTTGTATAACCCTGACCTGTCAAGGCGACTGGGTTTCCACCTTCAAACGTCCAAGTGTTGGGCTCCGAGATGGGCAGAAAGCACAAGCAGTGAATCTTAATGCACAAAAATTATGAATAATCAAAATAAAAACCGAAAAAATATCTTTCAGTAATAATAAAAAAAAAAAATATTAATATGGAATTTCCAAGACTTTTTGTGCTCCGTCCTTAGAAGAAACTCCGCTGGTAAAACTTTCCCCTTTCTTGATTCAAAAGGTACTATCCAGTAATCCCAAAACAGAAAGTTGAGAGATGGCAATTTGCTGGTTGAGGTGAAACATAGGAAACGTGGAAATACAGATGAAGATCTTTCATATCAAAATTAAAACCTTCCCTCTTGCAAGACTGAATACTTCTAAGGGAGTCATTAGAAGTAAAGAGTTGTCTCTGGCCACACCAGAGGAAATTACGTTTGCCTTAGGAAGCCAAGGGGTCAGCGATTACCATAGAATCTCAATTAAAAGAAAAGGGGGAGAAACAATTATAACTGTCACATATATCCTTACTTTGGCCCACCCGAAGTCCCCGCCAAAATAAAAATAGGGTATAATATTGAGCCGGTGGAACTATATATCCCTGTTCTACTAAAATGCTTTAGGTGTCAAAAATTTAGACATCATAGGGATAGCTGCAGGACTCGCCCAACATGTAGAAAATGTGACGAAAGGCATTCAGACTATTCTGAAGATTACCACGCTGAAATAAGATGTGCTAACTGCCAGGAAAGCCATCCAGCACACTGAAAACATGCGATCTCTGGGGGAAAAGGAAAGGGAAATTGTCAAAGTAAAATATAAAACAAACATCTCATTTTCAAAAGCAAGGCAAGTTGTTGAAGGTTACATAAAAGGCCCTTCCTACGTGAAAATATGACCACAAATAATTCCGTTCAGCCTGACAAATACAGAGCCCTCATTGAGAGTCTTGTACACTTGGGACCAAATGATTGGCCCAAATTTCAAACCTACCTAAAAAAAAAAAGTCTATATTCCAATGAAATGGGGCAGGCTTAACTGTAAATGGACAATGGAAACACTGAATGAATGAATAAATAAATAAATAAAAAACAAATAGCAAAACGACAGCTCAAACACAAACCACTCCTACCAGAAATACCAAATATCATACTAAACAAAGATCTCGGCGATATTCTATCCGTCCACACAAACCCAGGAAAGATAGACTGAAAAAACATATCTCCCAAAAGTACATAATCATCCAGACAAAAGCCCAAAATCCACAACGACCAAAT